TAGTAGCATTTAGCTTGTAAAAACTACATCATTGTCACCCACAACTAGTAATCACACATTTTTTCACTTTGAGAATTTTGTCTTTTCAGCTTGTGGGTGCGAATGGAGTTCTGAATGTTGGTGGAAAACTACGTCTCCAACTATATTGCCCTCCTCCAAGGTCCAGATCGCAACTAAATATTGTGGAAGTTTATGATTGGTGGGCAAAATGTCCCAGAAACCATTACCCCTCAACACTGTATGTAACTATAAAGGGCATTAAACTTCCAGAACATGTAAGTTTAAGTTGCATGTCTACCAACTAAACTTTCAGCAGAGATGTATCTGTGGGCGTTAATCTGAGAAAAGTTGTTTTTTTGTTGACCTTTTATAACAAGCTGTAGAACGGAAACAATTGGCATGTTCCCTTAAATACTTGAAACATTTCACATCTGGTTGCTCCTGTCCAGTCATCAACTGGAACTTTGGCTACTTTTCTGCCAGCCAGGTGCTGAATTTTGTATTTAAAGGGAAGGGGAGAGATCCATGAAGTATTTTTCAGCTGCTTCTTTCATTCAGTCTGGTGAAAATCTGCTGAAGTGAATAGACTTGCAATAATAGAGATCTATCAAGGAACCTAAAATATATCTGTGTTACATTTATTTTATTTTTAAATGTACAATTTTTAAAATGACTCTTTCTAGATTTCAGAAATATTGGTCAGACTTTGTTCATTTCCATGTTAAATTATGATCCATTCTGCAGTTCTTTTGGATTGATATGTAGCATTAGTCATATTTAGAGTAGACCCACTGAAAGCAATTGACTTAAGTAACAGAAGTCCCTTTCAATGGGTCTACGTAATTGGGGTATAGCTTTCTTGGATATCCACCCTGATAGTTTACATCTGCCAAAAGAAATTTGTCCTATTACACTTTTAATCTATTTGTAGGTAGATCCTTCTTTACGGTCTATGATGGCTGTTCAGCAGGAATATCATTCTCCATCATTCTTGGACCTGCAAAGTGAAGTATCTAAAAAAGCAAATAGTTCTGGACCACATGTGAAAAAAGAAGAACTACATAAGTGGTCACGAATTTCCTGGACAGGCAAGAGTTTTCATACCTTTGTACATAAGGATTGTGTTTCTAGGGTGCAATCTATAATTGTAGAGCAGCACTTTATTGTTTTCAAGTGTAAGCACAAAACAAATGGTTTAATTCCCCCGCCCCGCCCCAGTGTATGTGAAAAGTTCCAACCACTAATAATTTCCATGTCAACTGTGAAGGTTTTGCAGTGTTGCAGTAGAGGCGTGCGTTAGAATTTAGCAGTGAAGTTTAGACAGTCAAATTAAGAAAACAGCTTAATAAAAAGCATGAAAATTAGTGTGTTAGCACTATTATCAGTGTCCCCAGAGATTTCTTTGGAACCTGTTCAGGCAGTACTTTTGTCCACAGGTTTCTTTTTCTTTTAATTGTTTATTTTTAATTGAATGGGTATATATCTTTAAAAGCAAAACAACCAAGCTAACAATTACATACCAGAATTCTACTTAGCTGGTTGAATGGGAGAAAAAGCTTGTTCCTCAAGTTCATGCATTTCTTCCCCTGCTTCCCTCACTGTAGAGAGAAAGTGACGCATTCTTTCAGAATTTGCCATGGTGATTGCAAGATCTACCTTACAGAGTCATGGAGATCCTACATTTAAGCATAGGTTCTCTGAAGGCAAAATGGCCTGTTACCTTATTCATGCTTTTAAAAGAAGCATACTTAAATTGACCACTTTTATTTTGATGGAAAAGCAGTCCTGGGGCTCTAATACAGAATGTTCTCTAAACCAGAACAGGGGTCTTGCTGTCCACTTCATCTCTATCCCACCAGGGTTAAGCAAGTAACTGGCTCAGGGCCCAGACCAGCACCCCATTCTTCCATGCCGGTGAACACACATCTGCCACTGTTCCATTTTTTCTATGTTAACAGCACTTTTTTAATCAAAAGTTTGCTGTAAACAGTCTATCACTGATACCTTCCTGGAAATAGTTACAATTAGTTGATGATGAAAATAAAACTGTGGAAATAACGGCTTGCTTTGGAAATGCAGGTTTGCCGTATACCAAATAAGCATCTGTTTTCCCTACGAGCGGGAGATATGGGATGTTTCTGTATTCGCTTTTCCGAAGACGGACGAACCTTAGCAGCAGGTTGTGCAGGAAGAGATGCTTATCCTATTATTTGTAAGTCACAGCCTTACGGTGTGTTTCACTTTTAATACAGAGCCTCAAAATAATAAGTGTTTTTGTCTCCTAGTTTCATGTTTTTTGAAAAGATTGCCCTAAGACACAAGTGTTACTTTTGCTGCATCCTCTCGCAGGCAGAGGAAATTGGTTAGTGGGACAGCGGAGGGAGGCGGTTTTCAGTTTAAGACTGGCAGAGGGGGCTCTCTTGGTAATTCCACAGTCCTTGTGGCTGTAATTTATTTAAAGTCTTGTGGCTGTAATTTATTTAAAACTGTATTTAATTTTTTTTTAAAAAAAATCTTAATATTGTATTTTTTAAATGTTGTATTTTAAAATGACTAAATAAATAAACATTTTATAAATAAATAAAAATAAATAACCTGCCCTGGACCTTATGGTGAAGGGTGGGGTAAGAAATCAAATAAATAATAATGATAATAAAAATGCAACAACAGTAACAACTGATGTAGCAAGCAGTTAAGTTTGAACCACTTTCTCAAGCCTCCTTGGGCTCCATGATTGAAGAAATTATGATTATGATTATATCTAGCCCATACTGCCAAAGGAGCTCAGGGCAACAAACAAAAGAGGGGATAGAAATATGGAGGGGGGGGGAGAGAGAAACATATTGATATTAGGTACTCTGAGATGGTTCCAGAAGGGTTTTGGGAAGAAGTAAGTGTGAGGTTATTTGGAAGGATGAACGTGAGGGAGCACGGCTCGGAAAAAGCAGCAAACTGCTACAAGCAAAAGGAAGTGACATAGAAGAAAATTTGAAGTTAAAATATGTGTAAGAAAATGAATGTGGCTTACAGCAAAATGATACTGTAGCCAGTAATGACTTTTGCAGTATTTTGTGGGTTTCTCATCAACCTTCCCTAGTCGATGAGCAGTTATGTAGCAGGAGAAAAGGACACTGAAATATTATTATTGTTCTTGAATTGGAGTGCTTTATAATGCCATTTTGCGAAAACGCTTTATTTAAAAGTTTACCACACATACATAATTCTCATTCAGCCACTAGATGGAAATAGATACTTGCATGCTTATTTTAAATTTAGACTCTTAACATACATCTGGCAGCCACGTCTGAAAATCAGATGCTGGTGGAGGCCGGATATAACTATCATGTCCAGTAGCTGCCGGTAGCTTATTCTCTCTGCATTCATTTAATTTCCTTTTAAAGCCATCTAATCTGGTGACTATTACAACATCCTAGGACAGTGTGCTTGTGTTTGTGTGAAGTACTTTTTGAAACCAAATAGTTTCCGTTTGGATGCTTCCTTGATGTTCATGATTTCTTAATTTTACCTATTCCTAACCCCTTAAAAAGCTTTTTGTGTTTTCATCAGTATATGAGATTCCTTCTGGGCAAAACCTGGTGGAATTTTATGGACACCTGAACATTGTATATGATCTTTGCTGGTCAAAAGATAACCAGCATCTCCTTACCGCATCCTCAGATGGTACGGCAAGGTTAGTATAAGTGAGTTCGTCTTATTTCAATGGTAACATAAAGTGAATTAACATATTATATGTTCTGCCTCTTTCCCTTTTTTTTCACAGGCAGGGGGTGGGAGAATTCCATGACAGAACCACTACAGTTCCACTGCAAGGAGAGTGGAAGTTTTTTGTTTTTGTTATTTTGCAGCTGCTCCCTACCTTTAGTGTCTTAGTATGTGTAAGGGTGTTCTGGTTATTTAATAAATATAGGATCACTTTTCTGCAAAGGCAATCTCTTGAGGAGAAAATAAAGCAAAACCCTCCACTCAACCATATTCTACAGACATCTTTTTGACTGTATCCTGTTCTCTTTACCCTCACTTAATATAAATTTTTACTTTTTATTGTTGCCTTTCACTCTTGCACTAAAGAAGAGATGAGGATTTTATTTTATTTAATGCAAACCTCCAGTTACAGCAGTGACACTCTGCTAGGTTATACTGGATAAACTGGCATTTCAAAATGCATTTGCATGGGGGAAAATACTTAAGGCGTTTAAAGTTAAAACAAAACAAACCACAAATTACTTCTTAAGATAGAGGACAGCACAAAAAGCAAATGAATGTAATTTGGATTCTTTGTAGTAATTCAGTGAAGAAATGATATCCATTCTGGATATCTGGCTAGCATATGACTCGGTAATTAAATCACATACTGCATTTTCTAAAAGACATTAAGTTAACAGTTTCCTAAATATTGTTTCCTTCTAGAATGTGGAAAATTGAAGCCCAGGCTACATCAGCCGTGAGAGTTTTCCCTCATCCTTCCTTTGTCTACACTGCTAAATACCATCCAGTAGCTGAATATATTGTAGTGACAGGATGTTACGACTCTGTGATTAGAGTATGGAATGCAAAAGTGAAGGACATTTATGGGCAGCTTCTACAAGAGTTTGATGGTCACAAAAGTTTTATCAATACATTGTGCTTTGATGCAGAAGGCAAGTTTTGAATAATTTCACTCTGATAATGCTGTATGCAACAATTTAGCTCATTCATCTTTATAATAACTCTTGCCAGGTGTGGCGTGACTGTTATCATTTTGTAGATGGAGGCTGAGAGATTGTGACAGCCTTGTTGACAATAGAACGTGGCTAAGCAGAGAGGGAAAGGGGTGTGGCTGATCAGAAGGGCCTGTGCCACCTGCAGAATCTTCTTCCCATTCATGTCCTTTTTTAAAAAAAGACAAGGTCCCTTTAATCAAAGCGCAGCATGAGAAAAGCATATTATGTGCATTGTTCGATGCAAATAAGAGCCAAATGCTCATAAATAGAAATAAATAAATAAATGATTGTGTGGGAAAATTCATGTGATTAGACAGAATGTGAGATGACTAGGATGGGGAAAAAATTGATCACATTCAGGGTTGCATGTCATATCTGGCATCTGGCCAGTGATCTCCCATGTCACATGTAATTTTAAATTGGCGTGGTTAAAATTTTGAGCTTTCATTAACATTTTAAATACTGTATTTTTATTACAGTAAGCCACTTTGAGGCCTACGTGGTGGAAAGTGGAATATCGTTGTTGTTTTTTTTTTTTTAACGTAATTGGGTCCTAAAACCACAAGACTAGCAGTTGTTCTACAATTTATGTGACCATTGTGTGCGCCATGAAAGTTTCCCCGAACATACTGGTGTTTCCCCATGGCAAACTTGTAAACTTTGTACTTGAGTACTGCTTGCAGCTCTCCCACAGCTTTTCTCACACCTATGTAAGGTGAGAAAAACTGGGTGCTAAAGACTCAGCTCTGGAGACAACTGGGGCACAGGGTGAAACAAGAGGCACAAAAGAAACAGGAAACAGGTATTTGGAGCAAAAGAAAGAGATGCCAAAGGGAAAAGAGATTTGACTAGTAAATATTTTCTGATTTGCGCTATCTGAATACTGTGTGACATTAAGTAAACAAATTACTATTTTCTAGGATTTCATATGTTTTCTGGAGACAGCACAGGGCTGATCATCATCTGGAATACTTTGGTAAAAGGCAATTCTCAATCGCCAATCCAAAACTGGGGAATTGATAAGGTATATAGATATTTTAAAGTAATAAAATAACTTCTGTGCAGGTTGAGGCATTTAAGACATGCAATTTTACGGAAAGATGCTGGAAACAAGTAGGTTTGTAGCCATATACAGGAAAGCTTAGAGTTTTGTTCCTGTTAGCAGTAGGTAAGTGGTACGTAGACAGGATTCACCAAACCAGTCCTGCCAGTGGGATTCCCTGCCCTTGTCCCCTCCTTGAACCCCCTTGAGAAAGGGCCTGAAATTTTGAAAATAAAAGTGGTGCAGTCACTTAGAATAGAGCAACTTCCCTATGAGAAAATGTTACATCATTTGGAGCCTTTTAACTTAGAGGAAAGGCGGAATATGATAGAGGTGTGTAAGATTACGTACAGTGCAGAGAAAGTGGATGGAGTTTTCTCCCTCTGGTATAATTCTAGAACCCGGGACCCATCCACTGAAACTGCATTTTGAAAGATTCAGGACAGACAAAAGAGCGCACTTCTCCACTCAGCACATAGTTAAACTATGGAATTTGCTGGCACAGAATGCAGTTATGGTAATCAACTTGGATGACTTTAAAGGAGAATTAGACCAATTTATGGGGGATAGGACTATTAGTGGCTACTAATCATGTTAACTATGTTCCACCTCCACATTCAGAGGTATTCCTCTAAATACCAGTTGCTGGGAATCAAAAGTAGGGACAGTATGTTGAGCTCAGGTGCTGCTTGTGTGCTTCCTATAGTCATCTGATTGGGTACTTTAAGAACATAATTCTGGACTATATGAGTCCTAGTCCAACAAGGCTCTTTTGTGTTGAGATTCTTCTCCATAAGAAGTAGTGTTGGCTGCCAATTTAAATGACTTTCTGGGGGGATTAGACAAACTCATGGATGATAAGGTTGCTAGCAATGATAGCTCTGCAGTTACTATAGGAGCATAGACACTATGCCTCTGGATAGCCTTTGCTCAGAATCAACAATGGGAAATGGACTTTGCAGAGGTATCTGATCTCCACAGTGGGTTGCTAGACTAGATAGGCCTTTGCTTTGATCTAGGAGGGGGCTTCTGCTTATGAGTATACTGTGTTGCATCCATGTTTTTACTAGCTCTGTCGGTGGTGTTTTTGTAGGAGATAAATGATGATGATTTTAAAGGGACCGCGATCAATCATTTAGAGGTACATCCAAATGGAAGGCGTTTATTGATCCATACTAAAGACAGTACTGTGAGAATTATGGATCTCCGAATGTAAGTATCTAAAAGTGACTTACTTTGTTTTAAAGCGTTAAAATGATATCTGGGTATAATCTGTTATCTTTTCTTTCCACACACTTAAAAATAACCTAAATTGCCCTATTATTTCCAGGGATAGTAGGAGCACCTTAGACCTCCAAAAAGTTCTTCCTTCTGGGGGCCACAAAGCAGTATGAATCTAAAAGGGAGAAAGGGGCTCCTAAATTAATTCTTCATTGTTAGTGGGGTAGATAGGGTTTTCCCTGGATCCTACTTATATGTGGGGCCTGAGCCCAAGTATTTTTTAATTTTCAATCATTAGCAGTCTTTCCTTTGCATTTTAGTTAGTAGGTGGGAGATTGGAAGTAGGAAAGTATTACTAAAAGAAAATCCTCAGAAAATTCCCTAGAACCTTCTAAAAGTAAGATACCTTCACTGATTCCTCAAGAAGTTCTGCATGCTTGCACAAGGCCTTATGAATGCCTTGAAAATGTTCTGTTGTACCCTCACAGATAATCCAGCACCTGAGAGTTATTGTAGATACACAGAGGGATTTGGTATTCAGAGAGGTGCAGAATTACAACCATTCATCATTCTGTCCCTATAGCAGTGCAAGAGTTAAGAAACCCTTACCTCAAAATAAAGACCTAAACTCAGCTATGGGGGATGATGGTGGGTAGGAGTGATCCTACCAGTAGAGGTACTACTCTTGGACCACATGGATGTGCCACTTCCTTTGGAAACAGAATTCAATTTAGGATGAAGATTCATTTCAGGATGTGGCATTTTTTTCACCTTCAGTTTTGGCTTCAAATGAGACAGTTTGAATTCTAACCTGTTGCTATTTCTACTAACCGAGAGCTATACCTTATTTCTGTTTGACTGTATATCAGTTAAATTTCAAAGGATTAATTGGAATTATGATGATCAAAAGTCTTGGTACTGAGAGCCTCCTATTCCTTTGGATGATGCATCTAGATTGACTCTGCCTCTATCAAATGACTCTGAGGGAGGGTCATTCTGTGGTCTGAGGATGTTTGCCTACCACATCCTGGAGCGAAAACTCATAGTAAAGTGAAATCCAGCTTTTATAACATCTTTTTTGAATTTTTTTCTAGCCTTGCCACAAAGAAATATATTGGTGCAACAAACTATCGAGAAAAAATTCGCAGTACTTTAACACCATGTGGAACATTCCTTTTTTCTGGAAGTGAAGATGGTATAGCCTATGTCTGGAATCCAGAAACAGGTATGGAAGTTCATTATTTTATGCTGTTAGAAAAGAACTATATATTTTTTCATTTACAGGTTAACATATTTTAAATGAAGCTTTTCAAATAACTTTGGCATAGAATAAAAAATGCAGATCTGTTTGCCTTCAATCCATTGCTTCCTGTATGCTGATTTAAGTGACTGATCTTTTTGCCCCTTTCTACTTAATTTGGAAGAGGTGTTTGTGTGTGAGAGGGAGTATCTGAGTTAGTTCACATAAAAAAGGCTTTAGCAATCACTGCTCTCTTTCTCTACCCACTGTGTGCCACAGTTTCTTCACCTACGTTCTGGTTCTTGGTGATCCATAGTTTACTGCTTTGTCTGAACTGGGCAAACTGTGGTCAGCTCAAGCCATACATAGCCCTCAAATCCAGGGTTTGATTGGGTGTGAATAATCACTGTAGCTTGTATCCAACAATTTCATCTTGTTTGGGCAAGGACTTCTGTTTGTGCATGAAACTTCTCCATTCGTGTGCCCCTCAGATCTGTTTGGGAGGTGGGGGGCCACTCAACCCTCCAGATGTTCAATAGTGAATGGTCTTGGGGTAGAAATAGTGCTGATTCAAACAGACTCTAAGCCACATCTGGCACAGCATGAAGCACCTCAGAATGAGGTGTGCTGTTTTCTGAAAGAATGAATTGGGTTCCAAACTGAATTTGTAGTTGGTGCACAGCACTAGTTTCAGGTTTTCTTATCTTTCCCACCTTTGATTATTTTTCTAACTGGCGGTCGTTTATATACTGCTATGGGCTTTCCTCAATACTTTTACTGATACAGTTGACATGCACACCAACAAATAAAGTTTTTCACTAATGTAGACACAGCATAAAAAACACCATAGCAACAAAATAGAGCAGCAGATAAGTATTTTGTACCTGTACAAAAGGAAAAGAGGAGAAGCTAAACATGCTATGAGCAGGATATTTGCCTATAATTCTCAGATGGCAAGTATGAGATCATTCTTAGGTCATTGGACTCATTTAAGTCAAACTAGCTCTACTAATGAAGAAATGCATGGCCATTTGAATACAGCTCTGTCTAACCGTTTCTTTTTAATTTTAACTTTCTTTTTGTAGGTGATCAGGTAGCCATGTACTCTGATCTTTCCTTCACATCTCCAGTTCGTGATGTTGCCTTCCATCCACATGAGCATATGGTGTCATTTTGTGCCTTTGGTCAAAACCAGCCTATCCTCGTGTACATTTATGATTACAAGGTAATTTGTGTGTGACTGTATAAGTCTATCTAGCATTTCCTAATCTGCAGTGACTGTGACAGGCCATTCTCCCAACTTTGAAGCCAAAGTGGTGGGCAGCTATCATTCCAGCAGCCTTGCAGGGATCTCTGCTTCCCTCCCCAGTTCCAAAGTGGGGATATTTCTTTCTGTAATATTGGGGTGTGGGGAAAGAGATTGTGATCAGGACTGCAATGCATATGGAAATTCCCTCTTGCCAAGCTTCTTAGCTGCATGTGGGAGGGAGATTTTTCACCCAGAGAGCAGCTGTGTTAGAGCTAGACGTTCTCTGCTGCACCCCTGAGTCCTCATAATCCCCATTCCTGTGCTTCTAATTAAATAAAAAACATGGGCATAGCTGCACACTACACATTTAGCATAATGTATAGCTTGGACATAGTTAAAGCCTAATATACTGGCACAAAGCTCTTGCCAAAGAAATTTACTCTTGTGCTTAAATGTTATTTGCCAAGACTATGGCTGCATCTATGCTTTTGGAGTGCATTGCCTTGCCAGTTGTTTCAGAAACAGGTTTTCAAACTTCTTGAGGATAGCCCAAATAAATGTAATGCCAGTAAAATATCAAAGCTAGCTTTTAGCGATGGTGAAAGCCAGAGAAAGGATAAAGGAGGTTATTGTTAGACCTGCCCCAGCATCCCCTAGTGATAAAGAAAGATTATTGCAATGAAAACGCCAAAAAATGTATTTTGAGGACAGGAGTTTACCAGCCCAGATTGCCAGGCAAGGGCATGTCTGCATTGCCAAGAATGCCGAGCTTCTCTACTGAAACCTGTGCTACTAGCTAATCTCACTCTTAAGTATATTACAGACATAGGCATTTCAGGGTGCCAGGATGGGGTACAGTCTCAGTGTCCCCTGAGCTACATCCCTGCATGAAGAGAAAAGCTTTTTCGTTTGTGTTTTTTATGCTCCTGCTACAGCTCAATTGTTTGCAGTGGAAGGGGAGGGAATTTCTGATGTGGACATGCTCTTATGGAGCATCTTTTGCAATGCAGGAAAGAAGCCCTCTACCTCAGCTATTTTATAAGACCTTTTTCACAATGATTTTCATTTTTTAAAAAGATTGTAAAGGCAGTGAACAAGAGAACAAATGGCTTTGGGCCTTTCGTTATTCAGAGATAAATGATTTTCTCTGTAGTGCTTCTAAACTCTTTACTCTTTACAGACAAGATTTTCAGTTGTCTCCCCCTCTCAAATCGCATATAGTAGAGCAAGTTTGTTTCAAGTATTTATATGCTGTCTTTCTGCTTTCAGCCTTGAGGCAGTTCAGTGAAGTCATATAAAGTATCCAGTCTATGTTGGCCTTCCCAGCTTGCTGACGTCCAAGTGTTTTGGACAGAGGTGCCAAGTTGTGCCCAACATGGGGGGGGCACGTTGAGTGTGTGTGACCCCACAGCCCAGCCAGGCCAACTCAGCCTGCCATCCTCTGCCCGCCTGCCACCTTACCTTTATTTGCCGCCACTGCTGTGAGGCTGAGGTCAACTCTTTCCCCTCCATGAGGCCCGCTTTGGTGTGTTTCTTTGGATTGCCAGGGTGCCTTCCCAAAAGATAAAAAGCTTCTAGGGACCAGCCAGTTGGTATCCTCTCAAACCTGATGGTATCTTTCTTGATCTGTGGTATACATACTATCCATGCATAGGGAATTAATTATGACTACAGTGGTACCTCGGGTTAAGAACTTAATTCGTTCTGGAGGTCTGTTCTTAACCTGAAACTGTTCTTAACCTGAGGTACCACATTAGCTAATTGGGCCTCCTGCTGCTGCTGGGCGCTTTCTGTTCTCTTCCCAAAGCAAAGTTCTTAACCCGAGGTACTATTTCTGGGTTAGCGGAGTCTGTAACCTGAAGCATCTGTAACCAGAGGTACCACTGTATTACGGTAAGGGAGATGGCTTACAAAAAAAGGGATCTATTGAGCAAAGTTGGCTACAAGAAGTGCACATTTTAGGGAAACGTACCAAAAATGCATAGGCAGATAATAATGATAGTAAAAAAAACCTGCAACCTCTTTTGCATGGGGTTGGACAGAATGACCCTCAGGGTCCTTTGTAACTCTACAATTCTATAGCACTCTGCTTCTTCTAGGCCTGGGGCGCCACCTCCTGTTCACATCTATTGCTGGCACGTCCGTAGATACATAGACAGGAAAGAGAGAGAGAGAGAGATCGTAGAATCACACAGTTCAAAGGGACAATGAAAGCCATCTAGGCCAATCTATTCCAATGTGGGAATCACAACTAAAGAATCTCTAACAAACAGCCACCCAATCTCTGCTGAAAAATCTCCAAGGAAGGAGAGCCCCCCACCTTACAATGGAGTCTGTTCCACTGTCAAATAGCTCTTACCATAGAAAGTTCCTCATTGTCATTTGAATCCAGGTACTACCCTCTGGAAGGGACGCAGGTGGCGCTGTGGGTTAAACCACAGTGCCTAGGACTTGCCAATCAGAAGGTCGGCGGTTCGAATCCCCATGATGGGGTGAGCTCCTGTTGCTCAGTCCCTGCTCCTGCCAACCTAGCAGTTCAAAAACACATCAAAGTGCAAGTAAATAAATAGGTACCGTTCCGGCGGGAAAGTAAATGGTGTTTCCGTGCGCTCCTCTGGTTCGCCAGAAGCGGCTTAGTCATGCTGGCCACATGACCCGGAAGCTGTACGCCGGCTCCCTCGGCCAATAAAGCAAGATGAGTGCTGCAAGCCCCGAGTCGGCCACAACTGGACCTAATGGTCAGGGCCCCCCCCCCCTCTTACTACCCTCTGAAGCAGCTTGCTCCATCTTCCCCCTGACAGCCCTTGAGATATCATATCTCTTCTCAGTCTCCTCTTCTCCAGCTCCTTCAACCATTCCTAATCTGGCTTGGTTTTCAGGCCCTTGATCATCTTGGTTGCCCTCCTCTGCACACATTCCAGCGTGTCAATATTCTTCTTGAGTTGGCACCCAGAACTGGACACAGGACTTCATGTGGGGTCTGACTAAGGAAGAAAAGAGGAACAGAGGGAGGGAAGGAGGAGGGAAGGAGAGTACATGTTCTTCCTCCAGTTTTGACCTACTACGAATGACCACATGCATTCAGACATTGCCCGCTTTTTGTAGATCCAAAAATCACATCTTAGGGTAGAGGCCATCTCAGGAGACTCAAAGAATAGAGGAAGGACTGCAGATGACTGGTAGAGTGCCTGCTTTGCATACAGAGGGTCTCAGGCACCTGCAACCGGGGCTGGATGGGGGTGAGGGGTCCTGTATGAAACCCCAGAGAGCCACTGCCAGTCAGAGCATGCAATATTGAGCTAGGTGGACCAGGGTTCCGACTCAGATATAAGGTAGCTTCTTATCTATCTCAGGAGTGGCCAACGTGATGCCCTCTGGACATTGACAGACCACAACTCCCATCATCCCTGGCCATTGGCCATGCTGGCTGTGGCTGATGGGAGTTGGAGTCCTGCAATATTTAGAGGGCCTCAAGTTCCCCAGCTCTGTTCCATAGGATTCTCCTTTTCATTTCTCTTGTTTTTATCGACTTCCCACCCTGTTTTCCATAGAGTTGTTGTTTCTCCCCTTCTCCTGCACCCTACCTTCTGTCTGTTAAATCATAGCCTATAATCTAATTTCTTCTGTTGCTCTACCAGCTGCACTGGCTCCCGGTGGAGTATAGGGTCAGGGTTTAAGTGCTGTTTTGACCTTTAAAACCCTATGCGGCCTAGGACCCACGTACTTATGGGACCACCTCTCCTGGTATAATCCTGCAGACGACCCCAAGTCCTGAATAATATAGCTTAAAGGTCCCGGGCCCTAAGGAAGCCAGACTATCCTTCACCAGGGCCAGGGCTTTTCAGTGATGGCTCCGACCTGGTGGAATGCTCTGTCCACGAGACTAGCGGCCCTGCAGGACTTGATCTCCTTCCACAGGGCCTGTAAGACAGAGCTATTCTGCCTGGCCTTCAATTTGAATTTAGGCCTGGTCCTCTATCCCTTTCCCCTTTCCTCTTCTATGAAGAAAGCCTTTCTGGGACCCCACATTTAAATTCTTCCCTGGTCTCCTTGCTGGCCCTAGTAGGACCAACTTGGCCAGTTAGCCCTGGTGATCATTTGATGTCTACTGACTAGGTTCGCCCCCCAAAAAAAAATGACCCCTGAAATTTTGAATTTTATTGATAGTGATGCTGTATTTTATGTTGTATTTTATGCTGTTTTATGCTGTTTTTTAAGTCACATTTTAATCAATGTTTTATATTGCTGTTGCCACTCCTGAGCCGGTGTTTAAACTGTGAAGGGTGGGGTATAAATATATTATTATTATTATTATTATTATTATTATTATTATTATTATTATTATTATTATTATTATTATATCTCAAATCCTGCTCGCAAGTTCGTCATACTATAATATTGCTTTAAATAGTCCAAAAAAGGGATCCATTCTTCCATAAAACACTCATCATTAGATTTTCTTAACTTCCCTGTTATTTTTGCCAGTTCTGCATAGTCCATTATCTCATCCGTTCTTCATTGGTTGGAACTCTTGTTTCCATTTCTGCACATATTGAATCCAAGCTGCTGTTGTCACGTACATAAACCATGTTAACATTTGAAAGGGGGGGTATTTCTGTGCCTATGGTCATATAGGATTCTCTTTACATCCTGAGATTAGGCAATGAAATTAATGGCACCAGCTTTTGTGGGGGCCAGCACAGAAGGGCCTTTTCTATGGTAGGACCCAGCAGTGTGGAATGCACCCTTCTTGGGAAACTTAATTAACTTTATCTCATGTATCATTGTGTCCTTCCAGAAGCTGCTGAACTCCAGCTTTCATCATCCCTGACCACTGGCCATCTATCTGAGGCAGAAGGGGGTTATGGTCCAACCGCATCTGGAGGGTCACGCTGCTGTTTCTCCACTCATGGACAAGACGGTTCCTTGCCTTTGCTGCTCCAGGCTACCTCCACCACAACTCTGACTCCTTCCAA